GAAACCAAGACGGAATACACAAACACAGAAGCGGAAGGCAGGCTGGTGTACAAAATGAAGAACCCCTGCAAGAAGTCTGCAAGCAAATTCCAGCAAATTTTGGCCATAGCGCCGGGAAGCTATCATCATTCATCCAAACGAGAGCCTTAGGGTTTCCCCGGCTTTTCTCCGAGCAGAGCTTCAGCATCTCAGCTGCAACTATCATGATCAACAACTTGGACCGCTGCCACATCACCGATCTCTTTGGCGGCCAATGCATCCCCGCAATGAAAGTGGATCCTGAGAGCAGCACGTTCTGCAAGAAACTTGTTACTCTCGGGGGGGGGGACGGGGTGCGCAGTGTCAACCTTCCCCATGAAATGATTGGCCAAGTCTCCGATCAGCAAGGCCAACATCCTGCCAAGTGCAAGTGCATTACTGCTAGTAACAAGAAGCTACTAGTAGCGATGCACTTGTTACTAGTAATGTATTGTTAGTAGTAGCGATGCACTTGTTACTAGTGTTGCAATTTGCCAATGTCATGTTCAACTGAACATGATGCGCAAGATTGAACCAAGCGTTTGCACCCAGACAAATACGTGGTTGCATATATAATAATGTTTGCACCCAAACAAATACATGGTTGCATGTGTAATATAATAGTGAAAGGAACCATAGAAATCCAAAAAAGTCCTTGGCAATGCGCTGCGCGGGCATCACCATGCTGTTGCCTTGTCTGAGACAAATCACAAAATGTGATGAGGTTCAAAAAAATGTACTGATAAATTGTCTTCTCCAACTGAGTGGCATGTCCCACTCCTGAACTCCTTGTTCTCTCAATCACAGAACGAGTTAAGAATAGTCTGCCCCTTGCATCGCGCCCGAAAAGAAAGGGTTGGCAACGGAAACTTGTCTCGCACTCCAAAACTGAGTTTGCCGGTTCCAAACCCGCTATGATATGAGAAATAGGGTATAAGTAAGTAAAAACTAATGGAGATTGCGGGGAACAAGCAACCACCCAGACTGGTTTCCGCTTGCCTTGTCCAGGGTCTATTCAAGTTCAACTTCTGGGAGCAAGCTCCAGAGTTGACTGGACCAGCCCCAAACTCAAATAAGACGAGTTCATCGTGCAAGGGAGGGATGAAGAAGTACGGAGGTATCACAGGGGTAGCAAGGTAAGTCGTCGTAGCTAAAACGCTGCTGTCGTAGTAGCAAGTTCTTAAATATTGAGCGCAGAAAGGTTCGGGTTTCTTGCATGATTGATTTGGCTCCCAATTGTAGGGAAAGCTGACCTCCATATGAGCTGATGCGGTTTCCTACCCCACGCACCTTCCACCAATCCCTCATCCCAAGTACCTCAGACCTTGTTGACCTTTCCATCTCGAAGGACCCACCTGGGCTCATTCACCTGCAACTCTTAGGGCCAATTCCTGCTTATTAAGCTCTTGCCCCTTGTCACCTTGTCCAATCTCTTTTCACGGAACACCCAAAATCATCCCAAATCACAAAACCTTGATAAAACTCTTTATGAAACCCTTCATGAAGAGATTTAGTCTTTGGGGCCTCTCCTCATGAATGAAGAGATTTAGTCTTGGTGACCAGTCCTGACCCCCCCCAATTAAAATGGAATTGCACTTTTCTGACCACCCCCAAACAGCAAACCTTCCGGGGGGGTTACTAATCTAGTCTTTCTCTGCACAGTCATGTTGCAGAGCAGGTCGTAGCCGACACAGCGAGCAAACCCCAGACCAAGTGCAAAGGCACACTGGTATCCTCGGTGTCTGAGGCGCCGCATTGTGAACTCAAAAGTCTTGCCGAGAAACAAGATTAGATCATGTTCGATTGGGGGAGCCATCACAACATTGGCCCGCCTCGTAGTTGCTTTGTCTTGTATTTCTTGTAGTGATAGTTTACATCCTGCAATCCTCCAAGTCCTTGGGCAAGTCTTTGCCAAGCTTCCCAAGGCGCTGCCGACAATTAAGGCCACGGGCTCTTTCTTGGCTAGGACTGCCTGACAGTCTCAAGATCTGTCATTTGCTGGCTTCTCTAGTCCATGGTGAGGACAAGTGAAGCTTATGAAGGTCACACCCTTGCTACTTACATGTCTATTCAGGCCCTGAGAGATAAAACTAATTGAATCAAAGGTTGCAAGAAAAAAAGTGCCTGAACCTCCGGCTGCTGACAGACCTGCCAGTCCAAGGCTATTAAAACGTTGCTTGACCAATCACTCAAGTGCAGCTAGGATGAAACCTTGCAAGAGCTTATCGAAGCAACTGGGAAGATATGTGCAAAACGAAAATAGTTCAGAAACACCCCGGTCAGAAACATCCTGGTCGCCAGCCCGCCTCTTGCCATGCAGGAAAGTAGGTCACTCCATAACCTGACTGTCCCTTCTCATGCAACTCAATTCATTTCAGCTCAATGCTAGCACCCAATTGGGGAATAGTATTGCAGCACTCAAATCGTTTCACGTTGAATCTTTCAGCCCTCCATAGAGTCGTTTGAGAGGAATGTCTTGTATCAAATGCCTTACACTTACACTGGTATATCATATCTGATACAGCATCTCCAAATGTTAAAACAGGAACACAAATCCAAAAACGTATTGGTGGGCATGTTCTGAGCAAACCCACCAAAAAATGAAACAATCCATGTGTTGTGGGTTTGATACCGGATTCTGCTGCTCACTGCATCTCGCTGGTGCTCACTGCTCTGCTGAGCACGGCACTGATCAAACGGCCACTCCGGAAACGCTCCGTCGTTTCTCTGACCCAGCTCAACAGCCAATCCTTGGCCGTTTACCGAACCAGAGGTCCAATCAACAGCTTTTCGGCAAGTCGGAAAAATTGGATTGGGATTCATGCGGGATGATTCGATTGACAAAAATACACTAATCCTTCTGTTGTCGTGAAAAAGACCTGTGGCCTTTTCAGAAAAAGTCTTGTTTGCACTCGGTACAGTAGCTTTAAATGTTCTAGCTTCAAATGCACCAAATCATTGGAACACGAACTCATGGAGCCACATCAAATCTGCCCAGCTAGAGTTCGGATGCATCTCGAAGCAAACAAAAGGCTGCAAAATCCGCCAGAAGCAGCAGCAGCTGCAGCAGCTGCAGCAGCACAAACATTGAATAAGACTTTGATCTGAGAAAGTGCAAGCCCCGTTTATTGCTCTTTGGCAAACATTCGATTTGCAAGCATGCAACGCTGTCGTTCTCTTGCTGCCGCACAGCATCTGGCAATCAATAAAGGTTGCATCCACTTCAATTCTGACAGGCAAACCAACGACCCAGCCTAGCATCTTGACTAGCTGAGGATCCTGCAAGGTGCACCACCCGTCAGAAGTTGCTAAAGACAGTTGGCAACGGTACATCTCTCTTGCGACAAGCACCGAATCCAAACATGGTTGTTTCGGAGGCAAAAGTGAGTTGTCTGGCATTTGAGTCGCCAGCCTGCAACTCCGGAAAGGTAAGCAGCTTCAAGCTAAAATCTTGAGAATTGCGAAAAGACATCTACAGTAAGCATGGCGCATTGCTGAAGGGTAGGCCTCCTTGTCTTGGCTTGTTTCGGGGGTGGTGCAGTCCGTGCCTAAACCCAGATACTGTACATCGCATGGCTTGTTGCAGTAGATTGAGTAGAAGAACTGCTGAGAGTTTTTGGGTTTCTCAGCAGGCAATATCAGCGAAGCACACCTACCTCTCCCTCTCTCTCTCTCTCTCTCTGTCTGTCTGTCTCTCTCTCTGGTCCTTCACTTGCTTGATGAAAGCTTGGGCCTCAGCCTCTTTTGCGTCCTGCCGATGATTAATAGTGCAACGGGCAACAAACAATTGCAGCAGCCAGCTTCCTGGAGTCATTGGGTCATATTTATATTACATGAACTTTAAGTCACGTGAACTGTGCTTACTTCACAAAGTCCCTGTTTGTGTAAAAACGGACAGCTCACCCACAAATGCCCCGCTTGCAGCTCGAGTTTTCTGAGGAATGTTGAGGGCTTGGAAACCTCAGGTTTCTCAAACATGCTCCCTCCCTGACTGCGTCCAACGAAGCCATTTTGCTCGGCTGTCCTGATAAGTGGCCTCCTCAAAGCCGAAATTGGTATTAAAGTGGACCAGAGACAAGCCATCCTCAGCTGCCTAATTTTAAACATCAGCAACCTATAAGCAATGTTGCTGAAAAGCTTGGATAAGGTTGAATCTTGATCGTCAAGAATGCCCATGGTGGGAGGGAGATCTTGGCAGGGGCTCCCATTGACTGTGGATGTGCAGCGGTCATTAGGCATGTCACGGCCAAAGGTGTATGCTTGCCATAGCCTGTGGGTGGAGCTCCCAATGTTGCGACTTGCACTCGAAGATCTGGCACAAGTTTAGCAGCTCGAACTCGAACTCTCGAGTCTAAGTGGTCTCGTGATTCAAGGTTAAAGTGCTTGTTTACCTTTCGATTCAGCGTCGGTGTCAGGTCTGCACTAAAAACAAAAGCTGGAGTACCACACACCTTCTCCCCGCAGCTTTGTATCGCAGCTAATTTCTGTGGGCTGTAATCAAATTCAAAGTTCGGCCGACCATTCAGTCATATGATGGTGCTTGGGTTTTTGGACTTTGACCGCCTCGCTAACAAGCGTATTGATTCACTCAAGGTCTTGCGTCTGGCTTCAGCGAGCTTTGGCGTATCTATCTTCAAGTACATATCAACTTGCTGATGTCTGTCGTGATTCGCTTTCAATTTCTGATATTTTCTTTGTGTCCTACCAAATGTTACCCTTCTATCAGAAATTTTAGCCTTGACACTCAGGTCCATTGACTTGAAGGTGCAGCCTTGTCTTCTGATTCAAGAAAGGCTTGTTCTGCGCTTTGGAACCTCCCAGCATTGGACTAACATGTGCTAAACTTTAATGTGGTGGCCATCCCCTTCAAATTCAATCTTGCTCTTGGAACAGCTTCTGTATCACCTGTTGGACAGAGGGGTATGACTTTGGCTAGACAGGCTCACCTTCGAGTTGATCACTCGTATTCATTGGTCGGAGATTCAAAGCCCAGGTGCCCATTTCAGCTGCTCCAAGATCTGTCTCCACTCTTGTTCAGCCTCCTCAACACGGCCTGCGCATCCATGAAGACTTTGTCCGGTGTTGACTCAATTATCAACTGTCAACAAGAAGCAAGGCCCGCCAAAAGACTCTTCACAAGCTTCACAGTTTTTGACCCGGAATGATGTACGATGTGTATCCAACAACAGCGTTTCACCTGTGCATTCAGCAATGTGTTCTCAGCAAGGAACTTCAATCGGTCGACGGTGTGATTCCAATCACAGTGCCAGGGCTAGGATGAAGAACCTATGTTTAAGGGTATTACATGGACACGAGCCAAGGCACCTTGCAAGAAGATTGCGCTGCCTAAGTCCCGACGATGCCTCAAGACCTGCAGAGGTCGTTCTCGACAGCCGAACAAAATGGAAGAAAAAGAGCAGCACCAAAAGCAACAAGTTGAGATTGGACCAAAGATTACAACCAGAAACATCCAGAAACGGTCTCCATCTCCTGAGTCCAGTGAATCTCCTTGGCGCCTCCTCGGACTTATGTTTGACAGCTTCCCGAAAGTACTCCTCAGCCAGTGTTGCATTGCCACGGCCACGTGCCAGGCGGCCTTGCAAGGAGCAAAAGCACCATGAGGAGAACAAATCCACAGAGATCTAGAGAATCTGATGCTTATGGAAGCATAGCTGACATAGCTTTCGTATGCATTTACAGAATCTCACAATGCTTCTGTTTCTTCTTACACCAAAAGCCAAACTGGAATTGCAAACAGGTTTGTAAACTTGTGCGAGACTAGCTAGCAGCGAGAATGTTGTTGACTCTCATTCTGTGTCTCAAGCATGTGAGCTTCGAATACTGCAAGATCACTAAAAAGGAAAGCCTCCTGTTCAGCCAAGCTACCAAGGCGCCAAAGGGCCAGAGCTTTGTGCGAGGTGTTCCTTCCATTCGTTCACGAACGGGTACAAGTGGAACGTAATCGAATTAAAAAGGGGAGTCGATTGCTGTACAAACAAGGTACAACAATCAAGAGTGGTTCCCACAGAACAAGGTGCCCAACAGAGGTGGGCTGCTGAGAATACACAGCCATGCGTCCACTCCAAACACACACCTCTTGTG